GGTTGTGAGTTTGATCCCTGGTCCAGGCACATATGGGAGGCAACCCATCTATGTTTCTGTCTCACATGGATGTTTCTTTTTCTCTTTCTCAAAAAAATATTAATAAACATATCCTTCTGTGAGGATTTTTAAAAAAAAGACGTTTGGGAGTGAGCCATGTGAAGAGCCTTTCTGTTAGGGGGCAGCCTGTGCAAAGGCCATGAGAGCAGAATCTTCTGTGCTCAGATATTTAAATTTTGCTGTGAGTAAAAAGGTTGCTCTTGCAAGGTTTTGAGGAAATAAGTGGCATAATGTGACGTAAGGTTTGAAATATAGCATTTAGTTGAGAATAGACTATGACAGGACATAGAGAGAAGCAGGTAGAGCCTTCATGCAAACAAGAGGAAATGACTAGTACCAGCACAGTTGAGACAGGGAGAGAGGGAGGCTCGAGTGCGTGCAGAAGAGGAACCACAGGATTTCTGATGCATGGGATTGTGGGGTTGGGGGAGAGCAAGTCTCCACATATTGGTGGCCTGAACATCTGGAAGAATAATGGTGCCTCTGGTGATGCATAGAGAGCTGTTGGGAAAACTCAGGAGTTCACTTTGGACATCTTGACTGTGAGATGTTTGTTTCCATATAAGGAACATGTAGTGTGGGCAGTTGGACACACATGTCCAGAGTTCGGAGGAAAGGCCTGGGTCCCAGATGTTAATATGAGATTTATAGACGCCCAGATGGCAGACCTTTGTCATGTCCTGCTCCTCTCCATGCTTTGATGTCTCTTCTATCTTTCCTCCTCTGTTCCCTCCACTTCTCCCTCTGTGTTCATTCCTGTCTGTACTATTTTTATCTCAGTTGTTCAGCTTCCCTGTCCCTGATATTCTTCTCCTGACTTAAAAAACTGAACCATGAAGTGCTTGGTACTGAAGGACCTGCCCTGTGACAGCACGTGGCAGCCTTAGAGCCGGTGGGTTAAAACAGTGCTCAGTTCTTTTGAGAAATCAGTAGACTGTCTTAGGGGAACTCGGTTATAGGTAACTCTCTTCTTGTCTCTTGCTGCTTTTAAGATTCTCTCCTTACTTTAATCTTGGGTAATGTAATTATGATGTGCCTTGGTGTGTGCTTCCTTGGGTCCAACTTCTTTGGGACTCTCTGAGCTTCCTGGATCTCCTGGAAGTCTATTTCCTTGGCCAGATTGGGGAAGTTCTCCTTTCTTATTTTTTCAAATCAGTCTTCAGTTTCTTGCTCTTCCTCTTCTCTTGTTGGCACCCCAATGATTCAGATGTTGGGACGTTTACAGTTGTCCCAGATGTCCCTAAACATCTCCTCATTTTTTTTGAATTCTTGTTTGTCATTCTGTTCTGGCTAAGTGTTTCTTTCTTCCTTCTGCTCCCAGCAGAATTGTTGATTTGAGTCCCAGTTTCCTTCCCTTCACTGTTGGTTTCCTGTATGTTTTTCTTTATTTCACTTTGCATAGCCTCCACTCTTTCCTCTATTTTGCACCCATACGCAACCATTTCTGTGAGCATCCCGATTACCAGTGTTTTGAACTCTGCATCTGATGGGTTGGCTATCTCTTCATCGCTTAGTTGTATTTTTTCTGGAGTTTTGATCCGTTCTTCATTTGGACCATAATTCTTTGTCTTGGTGCTCCTGTTACGTTGGAAGGAGTGGAGCCTTAGGTATTGGCCAGGGTGGGGCAACCCACATTGCTGTGTTGTGAGTCTGTCTGTGGGGGAAGGGTCAGAGAGGGAACAACGCTGCTTGCTCAGCTCTGGCCCTGCTTTCAGTCGCTTCCCCTGCTATTCACAAGCAAATTGGGCCCTTCTGGTGCACATTCCCAGGTGGATGAGACTGTGTACCGTCTGGGACCCTGTGGGTCTCTCTGAAGAACTTCCCTGTGAGGCTGGGAGTTTCTCCTGCTGCCACCATCCCCATAGGTTTTTACACCCAGGGGTTTTGAGGCTTTCTTTTCCAGCACTGGAACCCTGTACTGTGTGGTCTGTCTCACTCCCCAGTTGCTCCTCCCTGTTTATCTGCACACAAATGTGGGACCACCCGGTCTGCCAGCTGCCACCTCACTACCCACCCGGGCTGCCAGCCTCTGCCTCTCTTACCCATCTGGATGAATGTTTCTTCTTTAATCCTTGGTTGTTGGGCTTCTATACAGTTTGATTTTCTGGCAATTCTGGTTGTTTTTTGTTTTTAAATTTGTTGTTGTCCTTCTTCTGGTTGTGTGAGGAGGCAAAGTGTATCTACCTATGCCTCCCTCTTGGCCAGAAAGTCGCATTAACTGTTATAACCAGTACTTTGTCAGAGGTTAGTTGACAGATGAAGACTCTAAGGCTCAGAGAGGGGACCTGACTTGTGAGCAGGTGGGAAGCTAAGACTGACCCCCAAACAGCCTGACTCACAGCCCCTGGTGTTTGCCACACTGCACTGTGCTTGTCAAAGTGCGCAGACAGATCCCACCTTCTCTTTTAAAATATTAAATTGTTTTGTCCTTCAGCAGTAAGCACTTTTCAAAAGGTCCTATGGGGGAAGCAGGGCAACATTACAACCCTGGTCAGACAGGTACTCAAGTCTCGCCATGTGCTGACCCTGCTCCTAATGATGTGGCTCAGCATATAAAAAAGCATTTGGGAGGCTTTTCTCCATTGTTGAAGTGTTTGTCCCTCACTGAGCACCTGCAGGAGCCTCCTGGGGACAGTGGCCTGGATATAGCAGATAGGGGCACAGCGCCTTCAGAAACACCGTGAAAAACAATCCTGGATCTGCAGACTGAGGAGGAGGGGTGGAAGCCATTTCCTAGGGGCTGGTTTGGGCTCTGCATGAACCAAGTTCATATTCTAGACTCATTTCTCGGGAGGCCACATCTTTTGTTTATCGGGAGAGGGTGCCAAGGCCTGGTCATGTGAAGTTGACTCCTCCCCATTGTTTCTAATATCAAAATGCTCAGAGAGAAAACTGGAGGATGACAGCCAGTGTTGGGATAAAGATTTTACCCCTTGATGGTCTTATACATCTCTAATTTAGAGCTATGTTTAACACTTGATAGTTCATGAAATATTTAAAAGTAATAATTACTATTTTCAGCATTTTTGACTACTGTTTAAGATGGTAATTTATTTTAATCAACAATCTATAATTGACAAACTTATGAAACCCTTACTAGTGCTAATAGTGTTCACGTTCTTTTTATTTGCAACACTTTAGAGAGTAATTATCTATAATTAATATGAACCTTTAACAAAGTTACATATACACATGTTTTAAGAATCAAATATTTCTACAAGTTCTACGTATGAAAACTGGAATCTCCCTAGCCACCCACTGTTTTCTGCTTCCAAGAAGCAACCATTTTCAACTCTGTTAACTGATTATTTTAGATTTTATTTCATGCCTCATACAATGTACTTCAATTGCATTTCTCAATTTCTGTCTCGTTAGGATTTATGTATGGATATCCCACTAAGGAAGGTGGGGAAATTAGAGCTACTTGTGACCTCATTCTGCACATGCACACTTTCTATTCTCCATCACCCTGATATCATTAGATTATAATTTTGGAAAACTGAATAGTCTGTGTCTTCAAATATAGTGACTATGAGATTGGTAATTACTGCTAAATCTTATAACATTTCCAGCTTGGATATGTTGATCCCTCAGGTGTTGCTATGTTCTTTTTTTTTTTTTTTTTAAAGATTTTATTTATTTAATTTTAGAGATGGGAGGGGAAGGAAAAAGAGAGGGAGAAACACATCAATGTGTGGTTGCCTCTCATGCACCCCCTACTGGGGACCTAGCCTGCAAAAACAGGTATGTGCCCTGACTAGGAATCAAACCAGTGACCCTTTGCTTACAGACCGGCAAACAACCTATTGAGCCACACCAGCCAGGGCAGGTGTTGCTCTGTTGATCTCTCATGTGTATGTATGTGTAACCAACACCATGTCCAGAATGCAGAGCAATTCCATGACCACAGAGGTTTCCCTGTGCTCGCCCTTTACAGTGACCCCATCCCTACCTTACCAAGCCCCTCAAAAGCCAATCTGCTCTCCATTCCATAGTTTTGAGAATGTGATATAAGTGGAATCATACAGTATGTGAGGGTTTGAGATTTACTTTATTTACCCAGCATAATGCCTTGGAGAGACTTAAAGCTGTTGTATGTCCTTGTATGGAGGCATTACAAGGTATTACAGTTTGATTAACTGTTCACTTATTATTGGACACTTTTTATTGTTTTCTGCTATTAGAGAGAAAGCTGCTATAGGCACAACACACGGGTTCTGGTGTAACATAAATTTCATTTCTGAGATCAATGCCTGGGAGTGTAATACTGGGTCTTATAAGCTACTTCCTCTTTTGAAAGAAATCATGATATTATTCTTTTTGTTGGCAGGAAGTGCATACAAATTCTGAGGTCTAGAATGCACTGTCCATTGGGCTAAGTTTTACCAGTTGCATCAGTAAAGGTTTGGAATAGGGAGTCATTCAGGAGCAGACCTGCTTCCACCCCAACATTGACCACGTTCTGGTGAACCCTCTTCTTTCCTCCCTCTGTAGAGCCCCTAGTGAGGCTGGTGTGGATGAGGCCACATGCCAGATCCACACCAGCTTAAGTTCTTGCTTAAGTTCCAAGCTTAAGTTCTTGGCTTGGAAGTATCGGACACAACCCACAACTGCAGCCCCTTCTCATCCTGGGCTCCCAAGTGGGGCATCACCATGAAGAGCTCAGATGGGGCGAGGGGCCCAGTGGAGAGCAGAGGCCCCAGGCAGGGGCAGCACTATTTCCTGTAGGCCTGCCCAAGTCTCTCTGACAACTAATATCAGTAACTCCTCACCCTATATTTGCCTTCGCTGACTGATTCTATTTCACAATCTGCAAGTAGAAATTGCCTTGAATCTAGAAGCGGGCTACTGTCCCACAGCCATTTCACACCACCCTGGCACTTCCCCTTATGTCCTGCGAGGCATGTTAGAAACTGAGCTTCCCAGAACACGTTAGACCAGAGCAGGCTCCTCAGCCTCCAGGATGCCTGTCCCTGCCTCCTGGCCCCTGCCTCCTCCTTGTCTGCTGCTGACTCTGCTGCTGGGCCTTGCAGGTGAGCACACTTCGGGGGTAGAATTCCCTTTCCCAGCTCCTGGACCTCTTCTTGACCTTCAGAAATTTTAGGGCCTCCAGGAAAACAGGGTGCATCGCCCAGTCCTTTCACAGAAGGCCAAGGGCAGGATGTTATCTGAGAGCATGGAACCAGGGTTTCGGGCATCTTCTCTGTGGGTCCATCGCCTGCACCCTTTACTAGAGGGTGATGATGATGCTTCAAACTGCAACCACGACAACTTTGTGAATATTAAACCCTTTAATCCTAATGGTATGGCTGTGTGAGCACTACGAGTTTTATCTCTGAATTGCAAATGAGGAAACGGAGGCTGAGAGAGTAACTTTGCAACATCACTTACGTGAGGCAGTGGTTTGGCCGGATTCAAATCCAGGCCTAGCAGCTGCAGAGCTCATTGTTTTAACAATGCTATGCTGCTCCACTCCCCAGTGGAGGCCAATTGCAGAAAAATCAGAAAACACAGAGAACTAAAAAGGAAGACTAGTCATCTCCCATCAGATCACACAGAGACCCAAACTTCAAGTTCTGCTGTTTACTCAGAAATTTTTATTTATGATGGGCTGCATGGTGCCTATGTATCAAGTATGTTTCTGAGCATTTAATGTGGGTAATCATTTCATGTAATCTTCTAAACAACCTCTAACTAGAATATGAGACCACGCATCTATATATAATCATGATACATATATCTGTGTGTTTTGTGTGTACAAGTGGTATAAGTGATTGCACACACACGGGAGATTTTTGAAAAGCCTTTTCTTACTGTTTCCTTCAAATCCCTTTCAGTCTACAGAAATGTACATGGACAGATGTTTAGTTTTCTCTGTTGCTCAGACAGCCTCCTTCCTTTCTATTTCTCTAAACTTACTCCTTAGCTTCCCCAAACTCCTAAGACAAGCAAACTTCTCTCCTGGTAAAATGAGTAGGATAAAAATACATTGTTATATTGGATTCCCTCTTTTCTAATGAGTGGGAATGAAGAGGAAAAAAGTGGATAAAAGATAGAGATGCCTCCCTGTATGGTCTATAATTATATCAATATCTATATCTTTATGCCGACTTCTATACCCATGCCTGTATCTATATATCTCTATCTATATTTATAGTCTATATCCATTCCTACATCTATATCCTCTGTCTGTTGAAGCATCAAAGCTCCAGAAAGTAAAATGAGTAATACCTTTTCAATTGCTTGAACACTCACCATGTGCAGATATGTTGGAAATTCCTGCATTTGCTCTCTGATGTGATCATTATATCAAAGATAGATCTTTTTGTCACCTCTACCTATAGAAAAGAAAAGCACAGAGAGGTTTAAGGACACTCAATGGAAAGTGATACATCAATCATTTGATCTCAAATGGTCTCATCCTAGCGCTCATGGGTTTCCCCGTTAAGCCACATCCATCCCATGAGATTTATTTCACTTGGACCAATGGGTGTGGGGAATGGTGGGTGTTAGAGGAGAGGGCGTGTGGTTTTCTGCCCCTGGGTTCTGCTTCCTGCATATGCAGAAGATATGCTTGTTTTTCACCAAGTCATCTAGTTGGGAAGCTCAGTTTCTAACATAAACTCTATAGATTTGTCGACTTAAACTAGGCTTCAAGATTTCAGGGAGGAGGACTCCCAACCAAGATGGAAGCATAGGTAAATACACTTTGCCTCCTCGCACAACCAAAAGAAGGACAACAACAAATTTAAAAGCTAAAAACAACCAGAATGGCCAGAAAAGCGAACTGTATGAAGTCCAACAACCAAAGAGTTAAAGGAGAAACATGCATCCAGATCAGTAGGAGGGGTGGAGACGGGCAGTCAGGGTGGAAAGGACACGGGGCAAGGTGGCAGCTAGAGGACAGTGAGGGCAAAGCAGCAACTGGTGGACTGAGTGGTCTCACATTTCTGTGTGGATAAACTGGGAGGAACAATGGGGGAGAGTGACAGACAGCACACACCAGATTCCAGCTCAGGGAAAAGAAAGCCTCAAAACCCCTGGGTGTAAAAACCTATGGGGATGGTGGCAGCAGGAGAAACTCCCAGCCTCACAGGGAAGTTCTTCAGAGAGACCCACAGGGTCCCAGACGGTACACAATCTCACCCACCTGGGAATGTGCACCAGAAGGGCCCAATTTGCTTGTGAATAGCAGGGGAAGCAACTGAAAGCAGGGGAAGTGACTGAAAGCAGGGCCAGAGCTGAGCAAGCAGCGTTGTTCCCTCTCTGACCCTTCCCCCACAGACAGACTCACAACACAGCAATGTGGGTTGCCCCGCCCTGGCCAATACCTAAGGCTCCACTCCTTCCAACGTAACAGGAGCACCAAGACAAAGAATTATGGCCCAAATGAAGAACGGATCAAAACTCCAGAAAAAATACAACTAAGCGATGAAGAGGTAGCCAACCCATCAGATGCAGAGTTCAAAACACTGGTAATCGGGATGCTCACAGAAATGGTTGCGTATGGGTGCAAAATAGAGGAAAGAGTGGAGGCTATGCAAAGTGAGATAAAGAAAAACATACAGGAAACCAACAGTGAAGGGAAGGAAACTGGGACTCAAATCAACAATTCTGCTGGGAGCAGAAGGAAGAAAGAAACACTTAGCCAGAACAGAATGACAAACAAGAATTCAAAAAAATGAGGAGATGCTTAGGGACATCTGGGACAACTGTAAACGTCCCAACATCTGAATCATTGGGGTGCCAACAAGAGAAGAGGAAGAGCAAGAAACTGAAGACTGATTTGAAAAAATAAGAAAGGAGAACTTCCCCAATCTGGCCAAGGAAATAGACTTCCAGGAGATCCAGGAAGCTCAGAGAGTCCCAAAGAAGTTGGACCCAAGGAAGCACACACCAAGGCACATCATAATTACGTTACCCAAGATTAAAGTAAGGAGAGAATCTTAAAAGCAGCAAGAGACAAGAAGAGAGTTACCTATAACCAAGTTCCCCTAAGACAGTCCGTTGATTTCTCAAAAGAAACCTTACAGTCAAGAGGGGTCTGGAAAGAAGTGTTCAAAGTCATGAAAGCCAAGGACGTACATCCAAGATTACTCTGTACAGCAAAGCTCTCATTTAGAGTTGGAAGGGCAGAGGAGGTGCTTCCCAGATCTGGTAAAGTTAAATGAGTGCATCATCACCAAGCTATTATTATATGAAATGTTAAAAGGACTTATCTAAGAAAAAGAAGATCAAACTAAGAACAGGAAAATGACAAAAAGCACAGCTATCAACAACTGAACCTAAAACACAACTAAAGAAACAACTAGGACAGGAACAGAATCACAAAAATGAGCATCACATGGAGGGTTATCAGCGGGGAGGTGGCCAGAGGAGGAGTGGGTACAGGGCACAGGGAATAAGAAGCCTGAATGACAGGTACAAAACAGACAGGGAGATGTCAAAGAATAGAATAGGAAATGGAGAAGCCAAAGGACATATATATGACCCATGGACATGAGCTGTGGGTCAGGGGATGGGAGTTCGGGGTGCTGGGCAGAGGGGAATAAAAGGGAGAAAAAATGTAATAGCATAATCAATAAAGTATACTTAAAAATAGATTTCAGGAGGAGTCTGACTGGGAAATTCTTATGTATAATACAAATAATTTTTGGATACTTACAAAGTACTAGGATCATTATGGGAACTTGGGGTGGATTGGTGAATAAAAGAGACAAAGTAGCTGCCCTCATGGAGCTTATATCCCAGTGGGGAAATGACAAGAAACAATAGACATACTAAATAAGTAAATAATATAGGATATTAGAGAAGAAGATTTAGGGGGAGATTAAAGTATTGTTAAAGAGGAGAATTGGGGAACTCTCTAGGGTGCAATGAACTTTAAACAGTGTGGTCTGGGTGAGCATCACTGAGAAAAAGAAGTTTGAGCCGGATTAACAGAAGGTTGGGAGTGAGGCATGGTGCTCTCTGCGGGAAGAGCCTTCCTCCTGTCGGGGAGCCGCATGTGCGAAGGCCATGATCGTAGAAAATCCTACTTTGTACAAGGTTTCGAAGAAAGCAGTGATCTAATCTGACAGAAGTTTTAAATTATCATAGCATTTGATTGAGAATAGAGGACAGTGAAACACAGCGTGAAACAGCAGAGCAACCCGGCAGACAAGGACAGGAGCCGGTAGAGACAGGGGGAAGGTGGAGGCTTGGGTGCATGCGGAAGGGGAGCCACAGGGTTTCTGATGCATAGGATTCGGGTCAGGAGAGCAAGACTCCAGGTGTAGGTGACCTGAGCATCTAGATGAAGAAAGGTGCCTCAGGGGAGAGTCAGAGAGCTGTGGGGGAAGTTCCGAAGTTCCCTTTGGACCTGTTAGCTGTGAGATGTTTGTTTTCATCCAACGAAAAATGTGAGTGGACAGTTAGACATACCGTCCAGAGTGCAGGGAAAGGGACCGGACAGAGGTGCACATATGAGATTTACATTAGCATGGATGGTGGAGTGTCTGCCATTCCCTGCTCCCTTCCTCACGCTGATCCCTCTTCTCTCTTCCCTCCACTTCTCCCTCCAAGATTCATTCCTGTTCTTCCCGTTTTGGTCTCAGCTCTTCACCTTCCCTGTCCCCAATATTCTTTTCCTGACTGCAAATTCAGTCTCTTGTTCCCGGCACAAAAGGACCTGCCCTGCGACAGCACGTGGCCGCCTTGGAGCCTGTGTGGTTACAAACAGTGCTAAGTGGGAGGCTCTCGCCAGCTCACACTCTGCAAAGGTGACCCACAGATTTTCTCCCTGAGGAGATGCCAAGAAAGAGAAATGAACAGAGGATTTATCGGTGGTGCCACAGCTGCCTCCACCTCTGAGTGACTTTGTTTCCTTCATTGTAGCCTGTGCTTTTGGTGTCACCTCCAGGAAATCATTGCCAAATCCAAAGTCACAAAGAGATTCACCTATGGGTTTTTTTGTAAGAATTTTAAAGTTTTAGCTCTTGTATTTAGGGTTTGTATTCATGGTGTTTATTTTTGTTTACAGAATAACATAAAAATCGAACTCCATTCTTTTGCATGTGGATATCCAGTTTCCCAGCAACATTTGCTGAAACACTGTCCTTTCCCCATTAAATGTTCTTGGCATCCTCGTTGACAATGTTTTCATCATATATGTGAGGGTTTACTTCTAGGCTATCTATTCTATTCAATTGGTCTCTCTATCTATTCTAATGACAGGACCATACTACTTGGATTACTGTAGTTTTCTAGTAAGTTTTTAAATCAGGAAATGGGAGTGGTCCAACAACGTTCTTTTCCGATTGCTTCATTACTAAACAACTAAACAACACCGCTCACTCCACAAGACATGCACTACAACTATATAATAGAGTTGGTCATCAAAATGATGGTCTTGCATTTTATATATTATGTTCCCACTTTAAGTCTCATTTATGAAAATAAATGGGAAATAGGAAAAATAAAATAGTCAATTAATTTAAAGAAAGAATACAAACAGCCAATAGGAACATAGTAATATCAACCTTATTTGTCATAGAAGAAATAAATATTTAAAAAATAAGATACATATTTCACTTGTATTGGTAAAGATTAAACTTAAAAAAAATAGTACCTACCGTGTACTAGGGAGTGCGCAGGTGGGGGCTGAAAGGGTGGTCACACATGTACGGCTAGCTGGATGTGTGCGTTGCACAGCCTTTTTGGAGAGCCTTTTGACAATACTTATCAAAGCTCTAAAAAAGTCTGTCCCTTTGAACTAAACATTCCACTTCCATAAACTTTCTCAAGTACATAATTAAGCATATACCTCAAAACGTGGTAACCAGGGTATTCCATGCTACACTGCTGACAGTAAAGTCTGCAGACGATCAAATGTCTGACAGAGAGCAAACACGAGTAAACGGGGGCACACGTCCCTGCCGGCAGACCCTGGTCTTCCCCTCCATGCCATTCTCCGCCCCCCTCAGCTTCCTCCTTCCCCAGCGTCTACTTCCCACAGAGTCCAACAATCGCTTTCTCAGAGCGCTGACCTGGGTCTGGACAAACTAAAAGGAAATCTTCTGGGGACCCGTGGGCAATGCACTCCTCACTGACAGAACTGACCTGTGAGGGGACAAACAGCCTTTCCTGACTTTTAGACGCAACCCTGTGAAGGTGTGAAGCTGAAGTTACGGCAGCAGGTCTCAGGACCGTCAGACAAGCCTAAGGCCAAACAAACTGGGGCTGAGGCAGAACAGTGTCCTTAATGGCCCCTCGGAGCTGCGTGTTGTGTGAGATAATGAATGTCCTTGGTTACTTAGGTCAGTTATGTTTGGCCGTTTACCTTTGGTCAAAAGCATCCTGACTGATAGAAGCCGGACAACAGAAGACGTTAGAGCCGGTGAGACTTATGCCCCAGAAGTATTTATGAATCGTGGATGCGCAGTTAAGAGAAAAAGATTACAAAATCATGTTACCATTTTGTATTCACAAAACCAAGTACATTAATATGAATTCATTTGCCAAGTAAAAGGTTTTAGAAATTATTCTCTCTGAAATAGTTGTCTTAAAGACAAAAATTTAAATGTTTCTTTATTGCAAATTAATTTTCTGTTTCTTTCTGCAACGAGCATATGCAGGCACGCCTCAGAGCTCCTGTGGGTAGTTGCAGACCTCCGAAATAGAGTGAGTTATGTCTTTGCTAGTGGAGGGTCTTCTTGCCTTTGCTTTGTCAAAAACAGAACGCCTGTGAAGTGCAATCAAGTGAAGCACAATAAAGCCAAGTACAATAAAGCCAATACCATGGGGCATGCCTGTGTCACATAAGAGTCAGCCACTCTTTGCTATTTTTTCTGTCCGTTCAGTGCGATTTTGGGAAGGAAGAAAAGGGAAACATGTCTTCTACTAAGCTATGTTGAAGTGGGAGTATGGTTTTTATCCTACCTGAGGACATTATTTTTTCATTTGCTTTTTTAGAGAGAGAGTGAGAGAGAGAGAGAAGAGAGAGAGGAAGGGAGAGAGAAACACCAAGGCGAGAGAAGCATCAGTTGGATGCCACTCTTGTGCCCAGACCTGGGATCCACGCCAGGACAGGGGATCAGACGCATTTAGGCAGGTGACGCTGGCGCCGGCGCAGGTACCAGGGGTCAAACCCACAACCTAGGTCCGTGCCCTGACTGGGAATTGAACCCACAACGCTTCGGCTATGAGATGACACTCCAACCAACTGAGCCACAGTGGCCAAGGCTGGGAGTAGACTTTTTTAACAGGGAAAGTTATGCTTTTCTTTCTCAAGTTGTTTTGTGAAATAAAATTTGGTAGCACCAGGCATCAATCATTTCTTGACTACAGAACAATACACAACAGGTTCCATTTCTCTGTGTTGTCATATCATGGCTTTGTACCATTTCCTATCGAAATTTATTCTGTGAAGCAAAAACAGTCCCCAAATGAAGGGTCTTCGGGGGCCATAGGAACAGCAGATGATACAAGTCATCGAAGGTGGGGACCCATCGGGCTTCCTAAGAGTTACTGCAAGAATGGAGCGCATCATTCTGCGTTCTCCAAACCTCCGTTCCTTTTCTTCTTCTGCCTCCAGGGCCAACGTGTTTCTTCATAAACCTGGCCTATGTCCAGGGCTGACGGAGGTGTATCAAATTCAAGCCGTTGCAGTTCAAATCCGAGCCCAAGGACCTCGGGCTTTTATGAGGCCTCCTTTCAGTGGCAAATTCCTTGAAAACATATCCATCTGAGTGCAATCGTCTTTAAGGCTTCTGAGTGTTTCTATTCTTGTTTGTAAACTTTCATTCTATAATCTAAAAGAATTCTGAGATTGAACCATTACCTCTAAAACTACTCTTCATTGTATCAATTCCAACTTGTTGCTCAGGTTCAGCGGCCCAACCCATTTCAAGAGAGATGTTAAAGCTGAAATTTGGGTAAAAATTCAGTGAGTCTTTAACACCTAATTTCCTCATCGTTGCAAGACCAGCAATGGCCGCCTTAGTGTCTGGGGCACAGACGGACCTGCCCACATGCTCCTTCTGCTTGGGTTGGATCGGTCACGCCATCAGCCACGCGGCTCAGCTGGGCAGCCGAGAGACCCAGGTAAAGGTCCAGCGCACGCCCTCCGTTGCTGGCTCCAAGCAGAACCGCTTGGCGGGGAAAGATTGAACCTCCTCTTTGCGACATCACTTGACCTCTATGTAGCTCAGTTTCCTCATTTGTAATGGGGCATGACATGACAGCTAGCGGGGGGGTTACATGTATGAGAAGTGCAACATGCTGAGCTCCAGGCCCGCGCAGGGTGTGCACTCACTCAATGAAAGCCATTGTCAATAAACACTTGACAAGGCCTGCACCATCACGCAGGGATGAATAAACAACTGCTCTGTGCTTTCCCGCAGGAGGGGCAGGTGAGGAGCTGCGGGTGATTCAGCCTGACAAGTCAGTGTCGGTGGCAGCCGGAGAGACGGCCACTCTGAGATGCACCAAGACCTCCATTAACACCGTGGGACCTGTCATGTGGTTCCGGGGGACAGGGCCCGGCCGGGTGTTAATCTACGATTTCAAAGGAGGCCTCGGCCCCCGAATAACAACCGTTGGAGACCCCACGAAGAAAGACAACATGGACTTTTCCATCCGCATCAGTAACATCTCCCCAGCAGACGCCGGGACCTACTACTGTGTGAAGTTCCGCAAAGAGGACACTGACAACGTAGAGTTCAAGTCTGGGGCAGGCACTCAGCTCACCGTGAGTGGTGAGTATGGGGCCAGATCCATTGTCCCTGACATGTGACAACAGTTAGTAGCACAACATTAGTTCTTTGAGCAACAACTAAGAATCCGCTGTGGCAGTGGGTGCTCATAGTCAGGATCTGATCCCTGGTCTGATTTCGCCCCTTCTGCAGGTCAGGGGAGTGAGGCCTGGAGAGGCCAAGCTGTCTGCTCAGGCCCCACGGCTGGTAGTGGGTGGGAAAAGTCTGGAACCATCTTCTGCATGACTCCCCAGCCCCTGCCTCTTCCAATCCTGTCCAGCCTCTTAGTTCCAGGCATGAGGGAGCTGCAGGTCTCAGTGACTTGCCCGTCACAAGGTCAGACCTCACCCCGGCCCGCAGAGAGTGCTCCCCTCAGTCTGGCCGGGCCACCCAACCCCTTACCGACACTCCCTGAGCACGTGCTGTGAGCCAGGCCCTGCTCTGGGTGCCGTGGGAGCTGCCGAGAACTGAGCAGGCAAAGGCCCATTTCCTACAAACTTGGTTCTCTTCCCTCCAATGGGGAGAAATGCTTGCAAGGCAGGGAGGGGGGAATGTGTTTCTTTATTTCCTTCTCAGAAGCATCACATGAGAAGAAAATCTTAAGGGACACAGACCCCCTGTTTACTCCAACAGCCTAGCTGGGCGGGGGGCTCGGAAGTTGGATGATTCTCAGACGGTCCTTCATCCTGGGAGAGGTTCCCCCATGTGGGTGACTTCAGGGTCACCTCACTGAGGCTGGGAAAGTGCTCACTTTCTTGTGTGTTTGGCCAGAGGCCTAGGATCCTGAATCCTGAAATATCAGCCCATAAAGGACCTGCAGACCATCCGCCTGCCCCCCATGCACAGGTGGGAGCCTGAGGCCAAGAGGTGACAGCAGTTTTGCCCTTGATCACTAGGCCAGGGAGTGGGGGCAACATTCCAGAATCTAATAAGAGTCCAAGCATGTTCCTTCCTGCCCTGTCGTGAGACCTCTTTCCATGGAAGACTTGGCCCATAGTAGGTGCTGAATGAAAGGCAACTACACCAACCATTCAACAAAGACCCAGAATATTCCTTTCATTATTTTCTCAAACGTTCACCTGCCCCTCACATTCAGACCCTGAAGCCCAAGGTAACTGAAATCCCCTCACAGCCGTGAGCCTCGTCACCCCCAGTCAAGCACCCCCATCAGCACCTAGAGCTGCCCCTTCTACAGCAGCTGCCTAACCCTCCAGCTTATGGCGACAGTTTCGCTCCTGGACAGCCTGTAGAGGGATGTCAGTTGTTCCCAACCTCTGGTTATTAAAACGGTAAAGCTGGGAATAAACGTGTGCAGGTGTCACTTGCCCAAGACGGAGATGCCCACTGGAATTGCCATTGCTGTGTCAGAGGGTACGTGATTGTAATGTGTGTGGCTATCGCCAATTTTCATCCTAGATGTGGTCGCCATGGAATCCCCCCACAACCCCTGAACAGTGGCAGAGAGGGTGGATTTATCCTGAATATTCTGATATTACAGTATTTCCCAAGGTTGTGTCTGTTGCCTGGGTCATCCCAGGTCGTAAGGGGCTCTGTCTGAGGTCTGCTGCCCCCTGGTGGAGCGCTCGTTCCCCTTCCCCAATCTGCCTGCCCAGAGGACCCTGTGGATGAGAAAGCAGGGAGGTGATGGGGGAGGGGGTAACAACATTGTTCTAGAACCGATCTCTTCCTCATGCCATTTACTCTTGTAACCAGGCCTTTGGCAGAGGGTACTGCTGATAAATAAAGACTCTAAGACTCAGAGAAGGGACCTGACCTGTGAGCAGGTGGGAAACTAAGACTGACCCCCAAACAGCCTGACTCACAGCCCCTGGTGTTTGCCGCACCCCACTGTGCGCAGACAGCTCCAGAACTCTCCTTGAAAATCTTAAATTGCTTTGTCCTTCGGCAGTAAACACTTTGTAAAAGGTTCTGTGGGGGAGGCAGGGCAACGTTACTACCCAGGTCAGTCAGGTACGCAAGTCTCGCCGTGTGCTGACCCTGCTCCGAATGCCGTGGCTCGGCCTATAGAAGCACTTGGGAGGCAGTTCCCCTCCACTGTTGTGGTGTTTGTCCTTCACTGAGCACCTGCAGGAGCGTCCTGGGGACAGGGGCCTGGATGGAGCAGATGGGGGTCACTGAACCCCCAGAAATACCTTGAAAAAAACCCCTGGGTCTACAGACTGAGAATGTGGGCAACAGCCATTTCCCAGGGGGCACAGTGGGGCTCAGCAGGAGCCAAGTTCGTATTCTAGACTCACCTCTCAGGAGGCCCCGTCTTTCGTTTGTTGCAAGAGGGTCTCAAGTCCTGGTCACTTGGAATCAACTCCTCCTTGTTATTCCTTAAAGTCAATATTCGCAGAGAGAAAAAAGGAGGGTAGCGGCCAGTGTTGGGGCCTGTGAGGTGGTGCAGTTACTCTGTAGTTGGACATGAAGACTGGGGACCACAGCAGACATCCCCGGGACACAGTGAGAGGTGAGGCGACAGCCCCCTCCTTTCTCTCAGCCTCCCTTTGCCCCTCTGTAACGCGGCGATGATCGTGGCCTCCTTTAGGGGAGCTGAAGGGTGTGAGGTGCTCTGTCTGAATCACCCGACACAGAGCCGCTCCCCCAGATAGGCTGTTATTTCACGGCGTGGCCCACTTTCTCTTGCGGGGCCCCAGGTTCCTCCCCTGCAGACAGTGGATGCTCCCACCAACCTTTGCGGGAAGGACTGAGGCCACAGTGAGCCTGGTGAGAGAGCCGACCCTAGTGAGCGATGGTGTCATCTCACCGCTGGGTGCTCCTGGGCAAGTCTAGCTTCCTGGAGTCCTCACTTTCCCCGTCGGCGAAGGGGTGATGATCCCATCTGCCGTTCAGGGGTCCGTGAGGGTAGGAGAGGATGTCTAGAGCGCCCAGTGGGCAGTTCAGGGAGTTACTGAGCGCCGGTGCACAATGGGGGGAGCGCATAGACCGAACTTCCTGCCTGGGCTCACATCCCGGCCCTGCTACTTTCTGGCTCTGTGACCTCTGACATGTCGCTCCCCACACTGTGCCTCAGAGTCCTAATCTGTCAGTGACAGCACTGACTTTGCAAAACAGCTACAAAGACTGAAGGAGTGAACACATGCGAAGTGCTTCGAGCGGTGCCTGACATGTAGGAAATGCTCTGTGAACAGGAGCTCTGCCTTGCTGGAGCCACAGGACATGGGACAGGTCACTTTCTTCTCCAGGCTTCAGTATCAATAGGGTTGGAGGTGGGGTTCGGTGCCTTGCACCTTGGCACTCATTGGAATCCCCTGGGAATCTTTCAAAAGTCTGCAGACCTGGGCTCCGCCCCTAGCAAATCCGATTTGGTCAGACATAGGCCTGGCAGCCACATTTTTTCACCATCTGGAGTCCGAAGGCCCTGAGCTAGGTGTTCTCTGAGGTCACAGAGAAAACACATTTTTTCCCCTGACAATGGGGCTCCCCTTGCTGCTGGGGCTGTGAGACCGCCACCTTTGGGAGGTGCTGGCTCTTCAGAATCTAACGTGCCAGAGACGGCTCCTCAGAGGCCCAAGGAAATGAGCCCATGTGGAGGGTCAGGGACACCCCCCCTCGGAGCAGGCCAGGGCTGAGAGTGGCCCCCTGCTCTCCAGGCCTGAGGACACGCAGCCCAGACACCCTGTGACATCCAAGCTCCGTGGCCGGGGACACCTTCCCACATTTAAACACCTGCGTGCCTAAGCAGGCCCGGGATTCCCCCGCGAACACTCACTGCCCAGCCCCAGAGCCCTTCCAATGCCAACAGGCCAGCATGTCACTGCTGAAGGAATCCACCTTCCCTGGGGAAATGCTCCCAGCTTCCATAAAAAGCCGATCTGCTGGGAAACGCCTGGGATCTGGTGTGTGTTTTCAAAGTCACTTCATGAAATTTGGTTCCTAAGGAGATCATTTCTAAGAAGAGAGAGAATCATAATATGATGACTTCTCTGCCGTCTTATTTTTAATCCTCACCCAAGGATATGTTTACTGATGTGAGAGAAGGAGGCAGGAACAGAGACAGGCATTGGGGGTAAAACATAAATATGGGAGAGAAACATGGATTGGATGCCTCTTGTACGCACACAAAAACCTAGGCATGTGCCATGACGGAAATGAAACTCTCAACCTTCCGGTGTATGGGATGATGCTCCAACCAGCTGAGCCACCTGACCAGGGCTCTCTGCTTTTCCCGTCTGAGGTTTTGACGGCAGTGGTGGGGAGCAGGACTTGGGACTTTTCTTGCTGCCCATGTCGTCGGCAGACGTGAGCAGAGCACGGACTTGGGCCAGGTAGTGTAGGGCACCGGGGAGGAAAGCCCTGGCTGCCTGGCATGGAGCCAAACTAAGAAAACAAAGGCCTCGACCTCACGGTGCCTTTCCTCCCCTAGCATATCGCTGGTCATGCGGTTTGGCCCCCTAACTTTTCCTCCCTAAGGATAACATCTCGGCCTCCGATGTATTTCATCTCCAGGCCCAGAAAACAAAACCAGGCCCAGCTGCATGGATGAAGGCCCCCAGCCCTGGGGCTGACCAATCAGTGGACACCATGACCCTGAAAGGACACCCCTGGAAAGCCGATGACTATGCTATTGACATCCTCCCCTGAGACCACCCCTAACGTTCCCACCTGCAAATCAAGATAAAACCTTCGGGACAAAGGCCCCGCTGAGCATGCTTCCTCCCAGCCACGCCCTTTCCTTTCCCCTCTTCTTCCTCCATGGGCTCCCGTCTCTTAAACTGTAAGGGACCGCACGAGACTTGCAACGAGGGGAGCAGCAGGCAGCGGCAGCTTGTTCCAGGCTGACTCCCTGAACCTGTCCCCGAGGCCCCTTTTCTCCTATTGGCCAGTGAGCCAAAGCCCTTGCTCTCCCCTATCTTCTTCTGTGCTACGCGCTTCCTTGTTTCACTGTCCAGAGTGTGCTTTTGCTGCGGCCAATGCATTCTTGCTTGTGCTCCTGCACTTGGTCTCTTGATGGAAATCTTTCCCTCAAGAAGACAACCACCGAGGTCTCATCATCTTGCCAGCACAATCTATGCTATGCTTTTCTTTTGCCTTCTTGTTACTTAAGGGACAGATCAGTCCAGAACTAGAAAGACCAGGTCTAACGATAACAATGATAGGTGTTAATGCTATTACGCACCTACTATATTCCAGGCACCACGTTTTACATGCCCTCTCTCTGCTCCTACCAGGGTGGTGCTTTGATCCACTTTGTCCAGAAGCAGACACCAAGGTTCAAGAGCAAAGGACAGAGATGCTTAAATTTATCCTGAGTGCAGTGAGATGAGCCCTGCCCGGTGCTCCCTGGGCGCCCTTGGCCAGCCGGGTTCCCCTCCCAGCCTCATCCCATAAGTGAGCCCACACGGGGCCTGCCTGCAGCCTGGTGGGAGGATGAGGCGCTGATGAGCACAGAGGCATCAGCCCGTCGTCAGGAGCCGAGGAGCCTCCCCATCACTGGTAACTGATCCCAGCGTCCCATCCCCGTAGTGACATCCAGGCTGCTAGGGTTTGTCTGGCTTGACTTATTCAAGTGATACCCTCTCACTGCCCAGCCCCAGAGCCCTTCCAATGCCAACAGGCCAGCATGTCACTGCTGAAGGAATCCACCTTCCCTGGGGAAATGCTCCCAGCTTCCATAAAAAGCCGATCTGCTGGGAAACGCCTGGCATCTGGTGTGTGTTTTCAAAGTCACTTCATGAAATTTGGTTCCTAAGGAGATCATTTCTAAGAAGAGAGAGAATCATAATATGATGACTTGTCCTCAAAATGTTTGATCAGTTTTAGGATCAAGTTAGATGTTTACAAATGCAAATACATGTTTGTAAGTGCTGTCAGCCCACTGTTAGAGAAGTTAATAATGAACAGTTTGGAGGCATCCTATAGACCCTGCTACAGGGAGTAACTGCCGTCCCTGTTGACTTACTCCTGGTGTGTGGGTGCTTTCCGGACAAAGGAGGAGCCCTGCCTGCTTTGCAGGCCTGTGTCTGTGTTTCTTCGAATTTCTTAAGGATTAAGAAAACTAGTTGAGGGGAGGGGATTGTGGGGCTGGGTGAAAAGCTGAAGGGATTAAGCAAAGCAAAGGAAGAAAGAAAAAACCACAGAGACCCAGACAACAACGTGGTGCTGACCCGTGAGAAGGAGGAGATATCGGTGACGGAGGGGACGTGACTTGGGGTGGGGAACACACACGGCGACACAGACCTCACGCCCGAGACCTATATAATTTCGTTAACCAATGTCAGACACCTCAGTAAATTCATCAGTCCATGAAATTAACCCTCGTTGGCTTGCTCAGCGCTCAGTGATCTTTATTTTCAACGCAAAACTGACCCAAGAGAAAAATCCTAACCCAGAAAAACATCCCATTGCCCCCCAACCCCCGCCTTTGAAATTCAGGGATCGGCACAGTAGACCACACAGGAACGTGCGGAGGAATAATGAAAACTTTGGAAGAAACTCATGAAAACCTGAAGGGAGAGCCCTGGATATAAATTCAGTCCAAATTCAAAATAGATGTGTGCTTGCTTATTTTTGTGAAGCATCTTCTGTTTTCCGCGAAGCCAAACAGCCCCCGTTGCCCGACCTCACCCTCCCTGCAGCCGGGGAGGGGGAAATGGCTGCCGTCCCCTTTCACCGGTGGGACAGGGATGTGCCCGGACGCCCCTCTCCTCGGCTGCCAGGCTGGTACCACTGTCATGGGGGTCCCGTACCCACCGCTTCCCCTGCGTTTACTCTGAGGCACTGTCTGGGAAGCTGGGAAGGTTCCCGGGGGAGGCCCGTGAGGAGAGTTAACACAAAGAGGGAGTCCGCTCAGTCACGTTGTTCCTGAACCCAGGCTGCTGGGAAATCACCGGGGGAGGAAAGCAGGTGCACTTTGCACTCAGGGCTGGAGCTGCTGTGGGCCCTGCCCCTCACGCAGAGGTCCCCGCTGGGGGCCTGAGAGTCCTGCGCTGTAAGATGAGGACGATGACACGTCCCACCAGCATTGTTAGAAGGAGAAAAAATAATATATAAGAAGGTCCTTGACAGTGTCACATGCTAATCATTAGTGCTGATGATCACAGCCATGCTCATTGTTCGTTATGTTCCTTTTAAAGCCAAACCCTCGCCCCCCGTGGTATCAGCCCCCACGGGGAGGGCCGCACCTGGGCAGACGGTGAGCTTCACCTGCGAGTCCCACGGCTTCTCCCCCAAGGACATCACCCTGAAATGGTTCAGAGACGGGAACGAGCTCCCAGCCTCCCGGACCGCCGTGGACCCAGAGGGAGACAGCCCTTCCTACAGCGTCTCCAGCAGGGCCAGGGTGCGGCTGGCCGCGGGGAATGTCCGCTCCCAGGTCATCTGCCAGGTGGACCACGTCACCCTGCAGGGGGGCCCTCCTCTTCGTCAGACTGCCAACCTGTCTGAGGTCATCCGAGGTAGATGTCCCTCACCCCCAGCACTTACGGGGCTCCCACCCTCCAAGCCTGTTCCTCCTCTTGCTCTTTGCTGCAGAGTGTGATTTTCATGGAACCTAATTCCTGACAGTCCTTCCCTTCACCAGGTCTCCGGATGTGCCTGTCACTCACCACTGTTCAATGGCAGCTGCCGGGTGAACAGCTACCACTGTACTCGGTAGTTTCACCTACTTTACCAAGAGCAACTCCAATAACTGAGCACCTACTATAGGCCAAGCAGCTGTGGGCTCGGTGATTTCATTTATTTTGCTATAGTTATTATGTTCTAATTGCATGCCGGGCTGTGCTGGTTGATTTCACTCATATTACCCTAATAGCAGCTACCAGTTCTTGAGTACCTACTATGGGCAGGGCACTGTGCTTAGTGATTTCATTCACATGCAAAGAGAACCCTGACTCGGAGCACCTGTGCATACCTCGCCCTGTCCTGAGTTGTCCCCTTGCTGTGGCGGGGGAGCTAAATTATGGAGCCCCGCTGTGATCTGTCTGTTCCACAAGGTCAGAGCTTCTGCCCTGTGCTGTTTCAGTTCCGCCCACCTTGGAAGTTACCCAACACCTCATGTCAGAGAACCAGGTGAACGTGACCTGCCAGGTGAAGAACTTCTACCCCCAGCGCCTACAGCTGACCTGGTTGGAGAACGGAAGCGTGTCCCGAACAGAAACACCCTCGACCCGCGTGGAGAACAAGGATGGGACCTTCAGCTCGAGGAGCTGGATCCTGGTTAATTCATCCGCCCACAGGGACGTGGTGCTCACCTGTCAGGTGCAGCACGATGGGCAGCCGGCGGTCAGCAGGAGCCTCACCCTGGAGGCCTCCGCTCACCAGAAGGGCCCGGGCCCAGGGGAACCCTCTGGTGAGGCCTCCACCCCAACTGACCCCGCTAGATTGAACTTTTAACCTTTTTAGTGTTATAATTATCCATTCATGCTTACTCTAGAATAATCCAGCAGTCTGTAGATAGAAAGTAGACCTTTGAAGTGAGCTTTCCTCCCCCAAACCCCACACTCCATGGTCACCACTGGTAAGAGTTTGGTCCGTATTTTTACTAATCTTTGACATCAATGTACATTAGGAAACAGGGAGGGAGAGATGGAGGCGGTGAGTTCACAGTGTGCTGCCCTCCCTTTCTCCTCTCAACAGTCCCTGGGTCCCTGTCCCCGGCAGACCGTCCCTCCTCCTCGCTGTCCGCCCCCCTCCCTGGACTCTCTCCATCCTAGTCTTTTCCTTCCCCATCAGGAAGGTCACCTAGCAAATGTCTGAACCTGCCGCTCTGTGAAACTGCAGAAGCGGAGCCCTGAGGACGTGGAGTGTGAGTCAGGACAAGTCACCCGAGTGACCGTGAGTGGTCGCATCACAGGCATCCGTTTCCCCAGATTTGTGCCCATGGGCCGGCAGCCGTCCTCCTGCGGAGAGGCTCCGACATCCCCCATTCCGCTGCTGGGTGTGCGGGTCGCTGCTGCTTCCCGCTCCCTTCCTGACTGGAAACGTGTCGTTCTTCTTTTCCCTTCATCTGTCTTGAGAGATGTTTTCCAACTTCATGGAGCTTCCCAAAGAACCCTCTTTTTGCTTCAGTGAGTTTCTGTCTCCAAATCCAGGGATATTTCTCCTCTTTCCTTGATAATTTCCTCCCTCCTGCTTGCTCTGGGTTAATTTTGCTCTCCCTTCACTAGTTTCCTGAGTTGGGAGCACAGATTATTGATTTTTGTCTTTTGTAAATGCCACACCTGGGTTGCATTCTGTGCCTGGGGTGTTTGGGTTGTGCAGGCCATGATGGCTGAATGCTGTGTTTCTTCTCCCAGCCTCAGATCCAAAGCTACTGTGCCTTTCCTTCCATCTCTCAGAGTCCTCCATTGCTCAAAGCTGGTGTTATCTCTGAGGGCCAGAGGAGGACTGACCAAGGAGAGCAGGAGAGATGAGTCTCCGCCATCTTCCCTGGACCGCCTCGGGCTTGCTTTTTAGACTCTACCCCTCGCGGGCCTTGCCAAACAGCCCTATTTCCCGTTTTCTGTGTGCCTTTTCACCATAGAAGTTGTGCATTTAAAGTTGTACCTGTGTCTTCAATCTCCTCTGTCCTTTTCAAACATTCTTTTCTCCTTGTTAGGTCCCTATGACCTCGCTAACAAATTCCCACCCGTTCAGTGCCTTTACAACACATTTATCATCTTGCAGCTCCAGAGGTCAGAGGTCAGCAGTGGGTTGGCAGGACCGGGCCCCTCCTGGCGGCTCTAGGGGAGGATCCCCGTCCTTCCCTTTGGCAGCCCCAGAGGTGGCGCCCTCCTCGGCTGAGGCCCCACCCGCCCTGAGCCCTGCCTCTGCCAGCACATCTCCTTCTCTGGCTCACCCGCTCCCGCTTTCCCTTAGTAGGACCTGTGAGTACATTGGCTCCAGTTAAAAAATCTGAGATAATGTTTCCATTTCATTTCTTCACTTGATCCCTATGGCTCAATCCTTTTGCCAGGTAATGTAACACATTCAGAGACAGTGCAGGCTCTGTGCCAACCCTGTTGTACAGACTTACTTTGAGGCCTTCTCCTGTGACCTGTGCTCTGATCTCCTGGACACTCTGCGATATTCCAGCGTCAGGACGGATTTCATAATGGCGGTGGTGGCGTCCCGAGCGGCTCGGGCCCCTCTGCTGCCTGCCCCTTGACGCGTGCCTGTGCGAGGCGGGGAAGGCAGCCACGTGGAACACTTCGCGTTAGGGTTTGGAGATTCTTCTGCTTTTTACCTACAGTTATTTTGATGCTTTTACATTTTCTCATCAAGCTATACTGAGAGCCAGTTGTGGGGGGGACTGATTTTCCCTATTGTGTTTTTTCTTTTTTGGCAGAGGCCATATTTGCCGTTAATTATCTGTGCGGCTGCCATTGTCCTCAGCGCCCCCCCCCCGCCCCCCGCAAGGGTGCTTTGGCCCATAGGTCCCTATCTCAGGGTCCCAAATTTCCCCATCAGGGTCCTACTCGGGCTGAACAGGCCCACTGAAGTGCAGAACTCAAGGTCCTCTGTAGCTCAGCAACTCCTAGAATTATGTCCTTGGCCCGAATCTGAGTTTTGTCTGCTCTCTGGTGCTAAAAGAAAACAATCTGCAAAACTACCAAGCACTCTTCTGGTTCACACTTGACCTTTACCTTGTAATTAGTCATTGTTAACTTTTCATTGTCTTTTCTAATTAACTTGCTCCCCACTAACACCCATCCAAGTGCATACTCCTGATAATTACCACTTCCCAACTAATTTCCCAATGACCGATGCCAAGATATCTCCTTCCTCTTCTTAGAAAATTCCAGTTCACCAAACAAGGAAAATTTTATCAATTGCACCCATAGAGCCAGCGGGGCACCCCTGCTCCACCTTCCACCAGTGCTGTGTCTCCTTGACCAGCCAGCTGATGAGCGATCTGGTTTCTAACTTGAATTTTAGAGTTTGCTCTCCAGAGGACTCCCAGAGGTCAGTACTCCTCTGGGTCAGTTTCCCTGGGAATCGGACTCTAAAGCGATGGAAGCGTGTGGAAGCTCCCCGTGGGGAGCTGTCAGGACCCACCCGCCTGAGGGAGCGAAGGAGCAGGACTGGCAAAGGAGCTGCTGGACTGCAGTGCAGGCACCAGACGTGGCTGCTCTACAGGGAACTGGACAGAGGGACAGCCGCTGAGAGTTGTTTACCTGGAGGGGAGTGGGCTGAGCCTCGACACTCACAGCCAGCCAGTCCTCCTGCCTTGGCAGCCCTCTGAGTGGGCGGGACCTAGGCTCGGAAGCTCCCTTCACCTGAGGGGAAGTCCCAGAGGGCCTATGACCTTAGAATTGCCATGCTCCAACACCCCACTGGAAATATGGTGTCTTAAGCCATACTTTAAGGATTATTTTATTTATAATCGATTGTTTCATATCGTTGGTTTTTGTTTAAAGAAAAACGGGTCATTATCAATCTGCAAAGAACCTAGAAATGTGATGTCCCAGACCTGACTCTCTGTGTCCACTAGGAAGATTTCAGCTGACCTCGACGCCGAGGTCAAAGCCAGCTGAATGGTGTTGCACCCCCTCCCAATCTTTTGACTGCATTTCTTTGAATCGCATTATGTTTCCCAGACAGTAGGTCTCATGAGAAGAACGGCAGCTCTCTCACTGTGAAGTCTGTCCTCACTGAACGCAAACGCCCTGTTAACATTTGCTTTTGCCACTTGAGAGGTTGGACTTGTCTTCACTGAAAAGACAAGCTCTTGGGATCACCGTATAAACAGCAGGGATGTGTTTTCTAGGTTTTAATCTCACCAATCTGTGACCTCCATCAATTTTCTGAGCTTCCGTTTCCTCATTAGACTGAGGATAGTACTATCTGCCTCATAGGGACGGGAGGACCAGGGGAGTCAATCAGGGGCTGCACTCATGGGTCGTTGAGCACACATTTTCCTACCCCTTCCCTCAAGAAAGACAACCCTGACAAACTAGGAAGGAGGTGATTGAGGATGAGGAAGCTCTTTGCCCCGATTCCTACCTTGAGCCGGAGAGCAGAGCAGGACTCAAGAGGTTCAGAGCGTTGATGGTGCAGGCAGCCATGGCTGAAGCAAGGAGAGGTCCCTGAGAATTGCCTCCTCTGATGGCTCCTCCTGTTTCTCTGTTTCCAGGCCCAGGAGTGTCTACTGAAGTCCTCGTAGCTGTCCTCCTCAGCTTCAAGGTGCTGCTGGTGGTTGGTGTCTCCGCCATCTATGTCCACAGGCGGTGGAGAGCCTGACGGTAAGTTGTGTGGCAGAGAGAGCGGTCAGCGTCTGTCCCAGAAGGGGCGAGGTCAGCAGGGGGGGACAGCCCACAGGCCACACGGGGTCAGAGCTAATGTGGCGTAAAGAGACGGTGACGCACTTCCACACTTACCCTCGGAAGTCTCTGAGAGCTCTCTAAGGGAGTCCCACTTCCTATGAAGTAGGTCGGGTCTTATAGGAAGTGGCCCGATCAAAGGTTTTAGAGGGTGTCCACAACATCTTAGGGTCTCTCTGGAGGAAGCGGGCAGAGGGAGTGAAGGAGGGGCAGCCGAGAAGGTTTCTCCCTTAGATGCCATCTCCAGATTATTTGACCCCTGGGTCTTTGGGGGAATGAAAAGAATTCACATTTTAGGGTATTGTTGAGAATTCCCGAATCTGCTGCTCTGAGGGCTGTGCCAGCTCTGATCTTCCTGGTGATAGAGTGGAAGGGACGGAATAAGGGGATCAGTCCTTGGGGAGAAAGGGCGAGGTGGCGGAGTCCCATGCCAGCGCTGTGTGTTCTCTCATGACAGGCATGCCAGGAAGAAGACAGCCCCGAACTCGGGAGACATGCCGGGAGCATTTCTTCAATGATAAGCAGATAGTTAAATGTGATCATGTTTCCCGCAGCTCCTTCTTCCTCCCCTGCTCCACAGCACCATCCATCTCTGCAGCCTCCTCTTTCTATGAGACCCTCCGCCTAGGGAAAAATAATGTTGACTAGAAGCTTCAACAGACTCTTCTTCCAATGCCTCTCCCCAGGGCAGACATGCTGCCCACAGGCCCCCACGGCTCTTCTCACAGTTCCCGGTGCCCCCAGGCCTGAGACTTCATACCTGGTCCTCTCAGAAACACATGCAGAACCCCAAATTGTCACCTGCGCTGTTATCTCCTACTTAAAGTTATCACATGACTTAAATGTGATCAGAGAAAAAAATGGGCTGCTGGCAATTGTGATATTAATGCGGTCAGACCTTTCCCATCAGCCTCGACCAGGAGCCCCCGGGAGAGAAAGCAATGCCGTGACGGAGACAGGCACTTTGATGCAGCGAGCTACCCGCATTAACATTGGCCTTGCTTCAATACTGGACATGCCTTCTTAAAAATCTTCTTAGTTGCTCTAAAGCACAGTGTGAAGTTGAGGAGTAGTAATTTCAAGCGAGGTGAGAGTTTCTGAACAATTTCCCATGGGATCTGTGTTCAGGCTGTACGAGTCTGGAGTGGTTTTGATCTTGTAGAATCAGAAGGGGCTCAGGAAAGACCATTTTGATTCAAATACCACAGATTTCCATCTTCCTTCTCTAGTCTTAGTAGATTTTCTTGAATACATGTTTGCCCCTTAATGTACACCTTTATGGCTATCTCTAGAGATTTTAAGTGATGTTTCAACATACACAGTCAATTAATATTCTGAAATGAATTATTTCTTTGTAGTTTCCTGGTATTTGCTTTCTTCTGTAAGGTGGCATTTTTAGCAACAGGCTTGCTATTTGGAATTATTCTCTCTGGGAAAATAATGGTATACATTCTTTTTTCAAAACTTCGTTTCCTACCATGTCGAAGCATAGGAATCTCTGGTCCGGATGAGCCATTAAAGACCACACCGCCCTGTCAGCCATCAGACACTGAGTGGCAATGTGTTCACAGTGCTTTAGAGGAGTCCAGCAGAGATGCTCCCGCCTGAGTCTTGTAGGCAGGGAGACCGGGGTTTGGATACTGGCAAACACACACCAGCTATGTGACCGTGGGCAACTCACTGACGCTCTCTGATCCAGTTTTCTACTTCGACAAATGGGAATTATGCTGCCTCAGAGAACTGTAGGGGCTTTAGAGGGGAGAGCCAAGTGTGAGAGCACACAGGGCCTGGAACAGCGTTGTGCACGATGTACACCCTTGTCTTCCTTTGTTTGCTGAGGAACTCACACCATCTGCGTGTGTCCAGCCCTCTGAAGCGATGACATTGAGAGTTTTCCAGGGGCCTAGCTGACTGAAGATGTTCTCAGGATTTTCTGGGGAAAAAATATCCCCTTCCAGGCTGGCGCCTGCATCCAAGAATCTCTCCAAAGGCCACAAGAGCAGCATTTCCTTGATCAGGGACATGCTTGTTAGCATGAGGGGAGATTGGGACAAATTTTACTGTTACTGAAATGAGGCTCTAACACGGAAACCAGACCTCACTGGTGTTTTTGTTTGTTTGTTTTAGTTTTTGTTTTTCTCCTTTCAGGAGGTAACAGCAGAGCTCTTCCCAGAGACCCGGGTACAACTAGGTCAAGCGGTGTCGGACCGGTCCCAGAGGCCTAGGCAGGTGCAGAAAGCAAACAGATGAACCCAACTAGCACTGAAGGGGGGTCACAACCAAAGTTCTCGCCAAGCCGGAAACTTTGTGCACACATCCGGTCCTCACAAACATTGTTCAGAACATAGGGGCCCAGGGCTTTGCACTTGTCGGGGCACCTAGATCTCACCTAATCAGACCCTGCCCACTAGGAATTCCTTTATACCTTCCCATTCCTTACCTTCAATGGCTGACTTTTAAGAATGTTCATTCAAGACTCTCAAATTAGCCCTGGCTGGTATGCCTCAGTTTGTTGAATGATTGTCACATAAACCAAAAGATCTCAGGTTTGATTCCTGGTCAGGGCACATACTCAGGTGGCAGGTGGAGTCCCGGTCTGGCGTGTTCCAGTAGGCAGCCACTTGATGCTTCTCTCTATTCCTCTCTCTGTGTTTCTCACTCTCTCATGCTTTCTCTCTTTCTAAAGGCTATGAGAAAAATGTCCTCAGGTGAGGATAAAAAAAAAAAAAGACTGCCAAATTGGAATGAACAAATATGTATAGCTTTTCCTTAGTATTACCTAATAAATAGGCTTCCCGTCTTTCTTCTGGGGTGTGAAAGGAGATTGATCTGAGCTCCGTTTCTGCTCTTTTGGTTGGGCAGCGGCACAATACACATATTTTTAATGAAATTGTGTTGCCTCAGACTTCCACTTTTCTGTGAGCATCAGACATGGAACTGGCTGACTTTGTTGGCTAAAATAAATAAGGGTTTTTTTCTTTTAGGCAAGACCGAATTGTTCAATGGCATCTTAGGAAGTACCTGAATTCACTTTGCCCAGAGACTCACTGAATGTATGGCCGCTAACGGAGTAATTCCCTGAGAAAGAAATCCAAAAAACATTTGAGAGCCGACTACACTTTATACAATGGAGAAAACTGACAACTAAACCAATAGAAGAGAATGAGACACGATCTCACCATGAATTCTACCCCCACTCAGGGACATACAATTGTGAGGAAACTCAGAACTCCCCGCTTCTCTTTGAGGACTGAGACTTAAATGTAATGTCTACCTCCCTAATTTTTAAAGTTCACCTCAGGAATGAGCCCCCAAAACAAGTAGAACGGAAAGCCAGTGGGGCTTGAATCCACAGGGCCCACAGCACTACCGCCAACAAGGAAGCAGCTCTCCAGTGAGTGTGAGGACTCCATCTATGCCCATGGGGCTCAGCACAGAGGCAGCAGAACGATGCCCATCTTGTAGTCTTTCCCTTAAAGAGGCCTCATTGCTTTTCTTAAAAACTGCAGTCTGAGGGTCAGGCTCCTAATTTAACCCACATCTAAAGGCCAACAGTCCTGTCCAGACACCAGGGAGCTGAGCGGTGTCATCTGCACATCCTCCCTCCACCGCACGGCCGGGTCCTGGTGTCCCCTTAAAGGAGCCTGTGCCCACGTCTGGCAGCCTGGGCCCTGTGGCTGCCGTGCAGGGGACGTAGTCACTGATTGCCTGGCTCTGGTGGCCATGGGGCTTCTGTTAGTGGGTCGCAAAGGATGGTAGAGAACAAACAGCACCATCTACAATAATCACATAGACAGCAGTCAGCATCACCCATCCCCCAGTCCTGCTCTGAGAAGGCCCACGTGAATACTTCAGAAGCTCTGCCTGAAGAACCAGCTGCCAATCGCCCTGCAGTTAGGTGCATACAGAGATCCTCGCCTTGGGACACGAACGTGTCACTGCCGTGACTTGGATCCAGGAAGAACAGACAAGGCAGTTTGGACAATGACAAGTTTGGAGAGATGACAAGTACTAGAACACGACTGAGTTTTAAGATTCATCGTGTACAAGAGACCACATCACCAAAGTTGGAAGAGGTGCCTCTCTTACCTAGTGCACGGAAACCAATGCAGAGAGTGAAGGAGAATGGAGAACTAAAGGAATTAGTACCAAATAAAAGCGTAAAATAAAACTCCAGAAATACACCTGACTAAAGGGGAGATAAGTGATTTGCCTGATAGAGATTTTAAAATGCTCATAAAGATGATGCTCACCTGCCCACGTGAGCAATGCTGTACAATGTGATAATGTCAACACCGAGCTGGAAAATATGAGAAAGGACAAAACAGAAATCACAGAAGTGAAGAATACAATCGCTGAGCTGAAAAAAAAATCCATAGAAGGGGTTCACAGCAGATAGATGAAGCAGGAGAAAGGATCAGGAGACTCAGAGATTGGTCAGTGAAAGTCTTCCAAGCAGAGGTTTGGCTCAGCCAGTATGGAGAGTCTTAAAAATATTAATAGAACAACTGAAGGGCCCAGCGATTCCACCTGTGGCTGTACATCGAAAGGAGCAGTGAAATCACTGCGTTGACGAGAAATCTGCCCCTGCCCATGTTTATTGCACTATTACTTACAATACGCAAGTGAACTAAGTAACACAGCTGACCATCAGTGGATGACTGCATATATCTAATGGAATATTACTCATTCATAAAGAGAAGAAATATTTCCTTGGCAATAACATAAACGGAGCGTAAGGACCTTATGCTAATGAAATAAGTCAGACAAAAGAAAGACAAACACTGTATGTTTTCACATACAAAGGTGGACCCCCCAAAACAAAAATTTTCTTAAGGAGGGGGTTCCCTTACACTACAGGCTTCCCTCACGACGTGAGTATTCTAGGAACCCATGTGTATGAGCGTATCAGTTGGCATTGTTGTGAGAGGCTGTGTCCAGCGTCAGTGAATTTTTTTAGGACTCTTTCAACGTGTTTCCCCATTTCACGGTGGGTGATTTACACGAACAACACAGGCAATAAAATTTTGTTTTCTGTTGGGCAAAAATGTGGCAGAAATGGTTGTTCTGCTACAGACAGCTTATAAGGAAGCTGCTCGGAGTAAAACACAAGTTTACAAATAGTTTTCTCATTTTAAACAAGCCACACTGTCGATTGATGATCAGCCTCTTTCCTGGCATCCTTCAACCAGCTGAACTGAAGAAAACGTGGTAAGAATTCATCACGCCATCATGGACAGCCAACGCTGGACTATTGACGAACTTGCAGAGTTGACTGGAGTGGGAATTGTATGTGAAGATTTGGGCATGAGAGTAGCTGCATCACAATTTGTGTCTCGCTTGCTCACGCCCAAACAAAGAGACAACCACTTGGCTACATGCTGGGCTTTGAAGGAGCAGTTGGAGGCCGACCCTGATTTTTTTGCCAAAGCCGCAACTGGAGGTGCATCTTTGTGCTACCGTCAAGACCCCAAAATGAAACAGCAAGCTGCAAGTAGCCACGGGGAAACTGCTACGTCCCCCGGACCCAAATAAGCAGGACAAGTGAAGTCAAACGTGAAAACAATGCACGTCTGTTTCTTTGATGGGAGACAGATTGTCCACTCAAGGACAAAGGTCAACCAAAGTTTTTACCTGGAAGTTTTGAGAAGGTTGAGTCACAATTTGTGGACAAAACATCCTAAGTCATGGTGAAGAGGTGACCGGCTCTTCCACCCGGAGAACCCACCTGCCCACATCGCACAGCGTGGTCAGCTGTTTTTGACCAAAAATGGCATGACCCCCATGCCCTCCCCTCCTTTTTCACCCGACCTTGCCCCAAGCGACATTCTTTGTTGTTTCCCCGGATGAAAGAAGTCCTCAAAGGGAAACGCTCTGCAAACGTGGAAGAGGTGAAACAAAAAATGGCAGCAGCACTAAAGGCGTCAGTATCCGTGAGTTCAAAACCTGTGTGAGTGGAAAAGCAGCTCGATAGGTGTATTGCATCATATGGAGAGTAGTCTGAAGCTGACTGAGGTTAAAACGTGGAAGAATAGGTACACAATTTTTAAGAACAAATTCTAAATTCACATATACAATG